AAGTCAGTGGAAGCTCCTTCAACAACTATCAAAGCCTCATGTCATCTATCAGTATGGGAAAGGAAACGAAGATCTCACAACTCTCCACACTCATTCAAACTCTTGAAGATCTTACTTCAGCTCAACATATAACATTAGCAACGGACAGAATAAAAAAACAAAACGAAAACAGAATAAAACCGTCAAAGTCAATTCAATCAATGAGTTTGCCAATGAGAAGGAAGAGAGGAGGGAGGAAGGCGAAAGAGAACAAACTACAAGAATACAAATGATGAAATAGTCCATGAATTTTGGTCAAGGAAATGGGCAAGGTGATCTCGAAATCAAAAGAAACTGTAAGAACAGAATATTCACAACTCTCGGTTTCCATTGAAAGCTTTTCAATTTTGAAAACGAACAACATACCGTCTGCATCCCTTCTCTCGGACATCACAGACAATCCAAAACAGAAATATTCCTTTCACACTGGAGATAATCCAGTTTTATTCAATTCATAAGTCTTGGATAATCAATCGAAGCATAATTGAATTGCAACATTTTCACCTTAAAATCATCGAACATACTACAAGCTGATGTGGTGTGAGGCCGTGTGAAATAAGATATTTATTCGAAGTTGAATGAACAACAGAACATGATAATCGACGAAGAGATGAAGAAATACAATCAATTACACAACAAATACGGGATAAGAACACTTGGAAGGAGCACCACCAAGAATAATAGTATTATTAACTTTTCTGATAATCACCTTTGGATGAGTTGCAACAATAAAAACCTTATTAAATTCTGCTTCAATGTAAGTCAAAGGTTTAAGTGACTTGATATCGATACCTAGTGTGGTAACTTATGCAATAGAGCCGATACCTGAAACCTTCAGATAAAAACTTCCAATAAGCAATAAATTACCTCCGGACATTATGAACAGCTTTTTCACAGCATAGACCGCGGAGAACCACAGCTTCTCGGCTGCTTGAATAATGTCTGGCGGCGATTTACTGTGATATAACTGAGCCTTCTCTATAAACGTTTCCGCGTCGTATTCTTCCATTTCTTTCTGAAAAACAAAATGAATTTAAAAAAAGTGTTTGTTTACTCGTAGTTTTTTCAGAAAACTTATTAGCACCCATTAGAGAAAAATAAAATAAATCATACCTTAAACTCCCAGTCACGATTATCAACAAGAACGTATTCTTCGAATTGATCACGTACACGGTCATATGTCTTTTGGTCATCGCAAGTCAAACGATCTTTCATCATTTGATACCAAAACTCTTGAGGCAGAATTCAATGAGGTTTTTTTTCTTATCGTTATCGTTATTCCGTATTTGTTGTGTAATTGATTGTATTTCTTCATCTCTTCGTCGATTATCATGTTTTGTTGTTCATTCAACTTCGAATAAATATCTTATTTCACACGGCCTCACACCACATCAGCTTGTAGTATGTTCGATGATTTTAAGGTGAGAATGTTGCAATTCAATTATGCTTCGATTGTTGTTTTTTTCGCTGCGTGCCTTTCACAAATCTGAAAGATATTGAACACCACAGATGAGCTTTGCCAAATAACTTGTCGAGTCTTAAAACCGCTCAGATGAGCAGATCACAAAAACTATCCGTTGCCGGTCAGTTCGC